CTTTGAGTCACATGTCACCTTATTTTTTTACTTATTCAAATAATATTTATTGGGAACATACTATGTGGCAATCACTGTGTTGGGTGCTAGGGATACAACTTCTCTCTAAGAACCTAGGATCCACTTAGGAAGTTAGGTACAAAAGGTGATTACACCACAGTGTCATATGTGCTTCCATATGGACAAATAAAATATAAGATATTTTAATTTTAAACTCTCCAATAAGATGCCTGCATTCAGAATCTGCTTATGTAACTTATGAGTTGTAGAACCTTGGTAAAATTATTTAACGTCTCTATAGCTTAGATTATTTAGCTGAGGAATTAATGATAATTACCTAATAAAGTTACTGTGAGAATTAAGTTAAGCTATATAACCTGCTTAAAACAGATCTTACCATTAAAAAAGTGTTCAAATGTTATTAGTAACAACTATATTAATCATTCTTTTTACAAGATGCTATGATGGTACATAAGAAAACCTACTGTCATACAGTAGGAGAAGTCAGAGAAAGTAGAAAAACATTTAAATAAAACATAAGGACACATGGGAATTAACCAAGTGAAAAATAAGTTGGAGGGGAAAAGTTTCAGACCAAGGAGGCAGCAGGGTATGGCAAATTCAGGGAACTGTGGGTGGTTCAACAGGGTAGGGATACATACATAAATAGAGATGGGGAGTAAAAAACTGAGTCTAAAGAAATAAGCTGGACCAATATCACCAGATATGGTAACTTGAACTTTATCCAGATGGCAATAGATGTACACTAAAGTTTTAAGTTGGAGAGTGACATGACCACTCTGGGTATAGGGCGGAGAATACAATGGAGAGAGATAAAACTAAAAAATGGGGACCAGAACTTGAGAATTTAAGCATGAAATCAAGTTGGCATGTGCTCAAGTTGTAGAAATCAGAATGGTGAATAGACAAATTTGTGACATACTAGGAAGATAGAAAACACAGGACTTCGTAACTGATTGGATATCAGGATAAAAGGAGAGAGAAGAATTAAAGGTAGCTTTTAAGTTCCTAGCAACTCAATGACCTGAGAAATCACTTGCTGGGATCTATACCAGAAGAAAGATGGTCAAGTTTGACAGGAAAGAGGCCAAGTTCAATGTTGTACATGTTGAGTTTGAGGTGTCTCTGAGGCATCCAAAATGTAAATAATAAATATTTGGATGTGTATGTCTGGAGCTCAGAAGACAGCTCTTTGCCAGAGGTGGATTTTGGAGTTATCATGGTCCTAAGTCATGTCACCTAAATAGTGTGCTTAAAGTGAAGTAGGCAGATCCTTGATAATAAAAATGGGCAAAGAAAAGGAACCTAAAATAAAGATCAGAAGAGAGAACTATAGCCATAGAAGGAAAACCAAAAATGTGAGGTTTCGAAAGAGGCCAGAGCAAGAGAGTGTTTCAAGAGAGGCTTGTTTAGTAAGATGTGTCCTGAAAAGAAGCTATTGGATTTAGTTACACAGATCTCTAGTCAATTTGATGGGGCAGTTCTAAGAGTAAGGGTAAGGGCAAAGACAGTGATTGTCCTGTAAGGAAATGATATACCAAATGCCAGAAACTTAACAAATTTGGTTTTCAAGAAGAGTAGAAAAGATAATAACAGAAAACAAATGGAGAATAGAGCTGACTGATTTACTGATTTTTTTTTTTTTTAAGATGGGAACTATTTGATCATGATAGGAAGAAACCCGGAAAGAGTTGTAAAATTTCAAGATATAAATTATAAAGGGGATGACTGATAGAACAAAGTTATCCAGGAAGCCAGACACTGCTTCTGGAATGTGGGAGGATGGGGACAAGGGATGACATATGTGCATGTAAGTTTATAAATGGAATAGGAAGCCAAAGGATTTCTCACATAATGAATATTATTTGTTTTTATGTGAAATATTTAGTAACATCTTCTGAGGGTGAAGGGAACACAGTCTGGTAAGGGACTTAAAGAGGACGAGCTTTGGAAAACTGTGAGATGAGAAAGCCGACTGACAATACATAGAAAGTTTGAAGGGCACCACTGAGGGGTCCATTTGAAGCTAGAGACTATAGATTTTTTGTGATACCAATCTGTGAGGATTTTTGATTTTCCACAGTAGTGATCAATAGCCAGAAAGGAGGACAGGTGTATTAATCCAAGATTAAGGTTTTACTGAGTGGAGTGAGAAAAAGGACAATGTGTAATGATAATATTGGCAAAAGAGTGATTGAGTGACAAACTATAATTTCCAGGATGAACAGAAAGAGAAAAGAGGGCAGCAGAGGATGGGAAAGAGGGAG